AAACCAGAGAGTAGAAACCATAAGATCAAATCATGCAGGACTTGGGAAGAACCAAGTAGGCCCTGGGAAAATCTTGCTCATGTTCTTGACATCAGATGGATAATAGCATGGCAACACAGTCTTGTTTTTATAATTGAAAATGCCGATGTCATGGCCACCAATCGGCACATCCGGACAAATTACATCATCTAGGCCATTCGTGAAGTAAATGGAATTGGGTTCGAGACCCGGAAACTCTGCCGCGGGCAACGCAAATGAATCGCCGTGGTAGCCAACAAAAAGCGCCAAGCCATCCAACGATTTGACCTTCTTAACATCCTGGTTTTCAGGGTTATATTTATAAACCTTGAAAGCAATAGTCACATAAGGAAGACCTCGAAGATGGGTTTCCTGATACGGGTCACTGCTGTCAACATACAATCCATCAAAATCAAAACAATCAACACAAAAATGAGTCACCACGAAGAGATCCTGCCCAAACACTATCAGATGATCCACCGATTCACACGATAGCTTCAATTGCGGCTGCCGTTTCCGATAACTAAAATTACATCTTCCCCTGGTTCTAACCTCGGCTATCTTCACCGCCCTCAGTGAATGAGGGTCTCGAAGATCCCAAGATTCCAACACGCCATCTCTCGTGAGGGTAAACAGTGCTTCATGTCTTGTGGAGTAGACACAATCCCAATAGCCATCTTCGAGATTGCGGAATGGTTCTCCTGAATTTGGGTCGAGCCACTGGTGCTCGCCGATATGGGTCCACTCCTTGCTGAACCCAGGGCAGCAGAAAGCCAGGGCATACATGCTGTTATACAAAATGATGGCCCGACAATTTGGTGTGTCCGGGGAGCACGAGAGTATGAGCTTGTATATCACGGGGGAGCCAGGCGGGAATTCGGGCAGGTCGCGAACAGGAGGGAGTTTTATGTGGCGACGGGAGATGGGATTATAGAGAAACAGATCGAAGCTGGGGCTCAACAATGCGAGCCAGCCGCGTGAAGATCCCGCGAAACACATGTCCAGGTGCGTTAATTCTCTTTCATGGCGGCAACTTTTTCCTGTATCGAGGGATACGACTTTATTGTCGGCGGGGTTGTAGAACTTGTAGCTAAAGCTGGCGGCGCCGGTGACGGTGACGTCAAAGGCTGGAGGCAGCATAAGCCAAGGAGATGACGATGGGTTTTGTCTCGTTGAAGACGAAAACATCGGCTCGGCCAACGTGCGAAAAGAAGAAGATCCAGTCAGGCATACAATCGGATAATTAGATAATCCGGCAAACCATTTCCGACCAATCGAACGGGTTATTGAGAAAGAAGAAGCCATCCATAGATAAACTCCGAAAGTCGAATGAAAGAGGCACAAAAAGAAGCACAACCTAAGCTTATCGCTCTATTTTATCGCCTCTGTTTTATCTACTCCTGCTGGCTTCTTATATATGCTTTCAATGAAGCATTTTTTTGACCTACTTCATAAATGGGCTTTAAATCCGTTGTGACCCAATTTTGTTTTAGCAAGCTTGTTTGGAAGACGGGCCACAAAGAATTCAATGACGCAGCCCAATAAAAATCTCAAAATTAATCCGACTTAGATTAAGTCAACGAAATCAGACGGCTATGAATGATACAATCTTCTATATTATTTTTAAATTAATAATTGTTTTTCGCTAAAAAATTTATGTACCTTTTAAAAATATTAATATTATTATATTTAGTACGACACTTTTTATTTGTGCGACTTACTTGTATTATATTATAATAATTTTTTAACTTACAACATATAACTACATTAAACATAAGTATATCAATTGAGAAATAATTTTATTTTTCTAATGAATTTTAGTCAATATTATTATTTTTTTATTATTATAAAGATAAATATAATTTATTTATTTTATATATACAATATGGATGTCAAATCGAAAATCATCAAGAGATGATTAATTTAATATATTATATATGTAAAACCGATAAGAAATACAAAAGTTATCAACTTTTAAAATACATTTACAATTCAATAGCTAATTGTAGGAAACAAATCCAAAGTCAGGGATATATTAGTCACATAGTGACTCACTATCTAAAATTACAAACAATTAAAGGATTATATTAGTACAATTGATATTAAAATACCTAATTTAGCTAAATAATATTTATGGAATGCCCGAAACCTAGATTATTAATTATTAATATATAATATTATTTGTCCAAACCTAACTAGGAAGCATGATTATTCGCCAAGTAGGATTTCGAAGCTCTAGAAGCAGCCACGTAGGCTCAGCGCATTCGGGAATTATATATAGGGAGGATATGAGAGGATATAAATTGTTTCAAAATGATTGCCCGAATAATTTTAAAAATATTTTATAATTATTTTCATGATTATTAGATTGAAATTTTATGCATAATAAATGAAGTTTTTGTATACATAATAAATCAAATATTTTTTTTAGCTACGTAGCTATTTTTTTATATGCTCCTTTGGTGTGTGAATATATATATATTATATATGTGTGTGTATGTATATATAACATTTTTTTTTCAATTTTTATGTCTTATTCTTAGTTATTATACTTGTCAATATGTTTTATTATTCTAAATTCAGAAAATAAAAAAATAAAAAAATTCAAGATAAATAAATAATATATTGGTCATCAAAACATGTCAAATATGTGTAATAAATGAAATAAATAAATTTTAGATACGAATAATTAAAATATGAATAATATGAATAAATTTTCAATATTTTGGGATTCTATTTATCATCATTTGATGCTCTACTATCTCTTCATATCAAATACTTTGTAAGCTGGTTTATTAACACAAAAAGAAAAAAGAAAAAAAAGAGCAATTAATCAGTAAATTACTAAACAAAAAAACCAGAGAGTAGAAACCATAAGATCAAATCATGCAGGACTTGGGAAGAACCAAGTAGGCCCTGGGAAAATCTTGCTCATGTTCTTGACATCAGATGGATAATAGCACGGCAATACAGTCTTGTTTTCATAATTGAAAATGCCGATGTCATGGCCACCAATTGGTGGTGTACACGGACACATGACTTCATCTAGCGCATTAGCGAAGTAAATGGAATTGGGTTTGAGCTCCGGAAACTCTGCCGCGGGCAACGCAAATGAATCGCTGTGGTAGCCGACGAAAAGCGCCAAGCCAACTAAAGAGTTGACATACTCAACCTCCTCATCCTCAGGGTCATATTTATGAACCTTGAAAGAAATAGTCACAAACGGAAGGCCTCGATCGAAGGTATTCTGATACGGGTCATCGCAGTCAACATACAATCCATCAAAATCAAAACATCCAACCACGTATTGAGTCACCACGAGGAGATCCTGCCCGGCCACTACCAAATGCTGCGCTCTATCACACGTTAGCTGCAAGTCATTCTCCTCTTTATGATGATATCTTTCCCTCGAATATCTAATCCTAACTAGTCCCTTGCGTCCAATATCGGCTATCTTCACCGCCCTCAGTGAATGAGGGTCTCCAAGATCCCAAGATTCCAACACGCCCTTTCTCGTGAGGGTAAACAGTGCTTCATGTCTTGTGGAGTAGACACAATCCCAATAGCCATTGCCGATATTGCGGAATGGTCGTCCCGAATTTGGGTCGAGCCAGTGGTGATCGCCGACATGGGTCCACTCCTTGCTGAAGCCAGGGCAGCAGAAAGCCAGCGCACGCATGCTGTTGTAGATAATGATGGCCCGACAATTTGGTGTGTCTGGGGAGCACGAGAGTATGAGCTTGTGTATCACGGGGGGGCCAGGCGGGAATTCGTGCAGGTCGCGAACCGGAGGGAGTTTTATGTGGCGACGGGAGATTGGATTATAGAGAAACAGATCGAAGCTGGGGCTCAACAAAGCGAGCCAGCCGCGTGAAGATCCCGCGAAACACATGTCCAGGTGCGTTAATTCTCTTTCATGGCAACTTTTTCCTGTATCGAGGGTTACGATTTTATTGTCGGCGGGGTTGTAGAACTTGTAGCTTAAGCTGGCGGCGCCGGTGACGGTGACGTCAAAGGCTGGAGGCAGCATAAGCCATGCAGATGACGAGGATGATGATCGGTTTTCGGCCAACGTGCTCATGCCTTTCGGATAAAAGGAGTTAAACCTATACCTACGAAAAGAAGAAGATTCAGTCAGGCATACAATCGGATAATTAGATAATCCGGCAAACCATTTCCGACCAATCGAACGGGTGATTGAGAAAGAAGAAGCCATCGATAGATAAACTCCGGAAGTCGAATGAAAGAGGCACAAAAAGAGGCACAACCTAAGCTTATCGCTCTATTTTATCGCCTCTGTTTTATCTACTCCTACTGGCTTCTTATATATGTTTTTGGGAAATATTACGTTCCGTTACGGCACCATCCCGTCTAGTGTAACCGTTGAATCATCTATCTTATCTAACTAAATATAGATCTAACAGTTAAAACACCTGACGGGATAATACCGTAACAGAACTATAGCATTTCTCTATGCTTTTAATGAAGCATTTTTTTGACCTACTTCATAAATGGGCTTTAAACTCGTCTGTGACCCAATTTTGTTTTAGCAAGCATTTTTGGAAGACGGGCCACAAAGAATTCAATGACGCAGCCCAATAAAAATCTCAAAATTAATCCGACGATTTAGATTATTAACGAAATCAGACGGCTATGAACGATACAATCTTCTATATATATATATAATTATTTTTAAAATAGTAATTATTTCTCGTCAAAAAAATCTGATTTACTATGTCTAGAAATAAATCAATCAAAATCTATAATCTATAATAATATAAAGAAGTTGTTGGAAAAAATACAAAAATAATAGCGTTAACTTAAAAAATAAAGTGTTGACTTACTATTAGTAGAAAATAGAAATTTTGGAAAAAATACATGTGAATCTTTAGGAATCTATATATCTATATATAAAAAGAATTAACATTTACTAAAAATAGTAGCAAAAATTTAAGAAACATTTAATACATGTTATTTTTGGAAATGTTTTATACTATATGCATTAATTGATTCTATTTACATGTTCTCAAATAAGATCAATAATTACTTAAATAAATTATTAATATCTACAGTATTTTCATTTGTAATTATTATAATAAATTACAAGATTGATTTTCGTGGTTCATGTTGATAATATTTTGGTCAAGACAAATATTATTTCATTAATATTTGTAATACTTTCATTGATATACATTATAATGAATTACAAGATTGATTTATGTGATCCATGTTGATAATATTTTGGTCAAGATAATATTACACCATATTTTAACCTCTAACCATAATATTAGTTTTTTTTCACAAATATTCACTTTTTATCCAAAAATATTTATGAAAAATCGTAACAAATTAGGGAAAAAAAACTTCCCAAGTAATCAGACAAAATCAAATTGGTGAATTGATATTTGTCAATATATTTATTTCTTAAGCTTTATTTTGTTAAATATAAAAAATAAATCGTTCTTCAAATTAATATAATTTACCATTTAAGAGATATTGATCAGATATAATAAATAGTTTCACTAATGGTAAAAATTTTTATTTTGACACATATTAACTATTGTTTAGCATTTATTTGTATATCATTGTCACTCATGACTATATTTTTTCATTTTTTTATTTTGATTTATTTCTATAATTAAATTCTTGTAATATATATTTTCATTGTTGAGTATGCTAAATAAACCATAAATCCTTCTAATGCGAACTAGAAAAATCTGATCATATAAGGGATCGAGTTTTTAGGATTTTCTAAATCAAATTTTTTTAATTAGTATATAAAATTAAATTCTAAAAAAACATGTGTATATTTTTTAATATATTTATACATTATTTAATATTATATTTATTTACATATTTTAAATCGATTACATAAATAAATAATGTAAACGTGTATTAAATATTTTTCATTACATAAAATAAAAATATAAGGAAGACGTACAACTTCTATAACTTTATAAATATTAATGACATTATATGACATGAAGTGTATAATAAAATAATAATTAAGTATTATATGGTGAACAAGAATGAGTAAAATTGTTATTCTCTCTTGTATCAAGGAATAAATATATATATTAAAATCAAATTTAAATTAGGATAAATGTGTCAGTGAATAATATATTAATTATATTAATATTTTGACTAAAAAAATAATGTTGATTAAAAGAGGTGCAAAATATATTATAACCTTATTGTTTTATTATACTTAAGTTGATTAAAAGAGATGAAAAATAAATGATAATCCTATTGCTTTATATACTTAAACGGACAAAACATGTGAAATAACACATTTAATATTTTCATCCCGTGCATCGCACGGGGTACATACTAGTCAAATTTAAAGGAGATATCCCAAAAAATATGGAGATTTTTAAGGTAACAAATTTGGAGACTCTTATGCCCAAATTTAATTCGTTTCATAAATACGAATCTCATTTTTATTGGTAATAAATTTAGAGATTCTTACACCAAAAATTTAAAATTTTGAATTGAGAAATCCCACTATTACAATTTTTTTCATTCAAATTAATGTTTCAAATCAAACAAAAATTGTTCCGACAATAATGGATGTTATATTAAATATTGATCAACTTCAATCCTCCATAAATTATCTATATTTATGAATTTTTATAAATATATTGATTTGCATTTCTTAAGTAATAATAAATTACATTATTTTAGAACCTATCCTAACTTATTTTCTAATTTTGGTGGTTTATATTCTTTAATTGAAATAATATTTGACTTATTTGATTGAAATAACTTATTTTTTTCAGGAGACAAATTTAAGTGATATATTGCAAAAAAAATAGAGATTCTTCATGTAACAAATTTAGAGATTCTTATGCCAAAATTTAATTCATTTCATCAATATGAGTCCCATTTTATTGGTAACATTTGGAGATTCTTATGCCAAAAAATGGGATTTTGAATTGGATATCCCAACAATTACATTTTTCATACAAATTAATGTTTCAAATAAAACAAAAAAATTGTTCCAAGAATAACGGATGTTATATTAAACATAGATAAACTTCAATCCTCCATAAATTATTTATATTTATAAATTTTGTTTGTAAATATATTGATTTGTTTTTCTTAAATAATCCCCCTCCCCCTATATATTAATACAGAACACGCTGAGCCTACGTGACTGCTTCTGGTGCTTCAGAATCATATGTCGCAAAATTACATGCTTCATTATTAGGCTTGGGTAAATTTAATTTAATTCCAAACCAAAAATAATTAAGTTTGGATTACCATAAATATGTTGATTATTTATGATCATGTTACATGTATTAATTGTATTTTAATATCATTCCTTATTATAACTATTGAATTGTATATATAATTTAAAAGTTAATAACTTTTGTATTTTTTATTAGTTTTACATATGTAATATATCAAATTAATCTTCTTTTGATGAGCTTCGATTTAACATCCATATTGTATGTATAAAAAAAATTATATTTATCTTTATAACAACTAGTGCGTACCCATGCGATGCACGGAAAATATTATTAAATAATAATTATAAATTAAAGAGGAGAGTAAACAATATTAACTAATAATTATAAAGTAAAAATGTGAGGTAACATATATATGTAAGAAGTATCAAAAATATTTTATGTTAAACGTAATTCTCATTCAACAAAAAATAGTATAACTAACGCAAAAAGGCAAGCTTTCAGTATATACACTAACACAACACACATGCACGAAATCGGTGATTGGAAGATCTAAATCGGTCAAAATGATTAAAGGTCGTGAACAATCAATTTCACCTATAAAAGACAAATTTTTCTGACTTCTTAGGGTTTTCATAAGATCCACCTGCACAATTTTTTGTTTTAGCTCAACTCTATTTCGTTCGATTATGAAGAATGATTCACAAATTAACCTTTTGAATAAAATGTTTTTGCTTTCAATTGACGATACATATTTTCAAAAATCACGTAAAAACAGTTGATTTTATGTTTTTTGTTCGAATTTCACTTATTTTTTCATATACGAAACAAATTCTTGAATTTGTATTCTGTCTTTTATTTGGATTTAAAAAATTAATATAAATGTAAAATGCACGTGTACAATTGAGAGTTTTTCCAGTTTTAACTGTAATTTTTGTTTCATAAAATGTTTATCTTATCATTCTGTGATTTAGAATGCATGTCTCCTATTCAACAAACTTTGATATTTATCTTAAATACATATTAATTATGGTTCACCGTATTTTTTTTTTTTTATCACAATTGTATCTTGTAACGTAACAATATATTTTGACAAATACATGCATAGATTTATTAAATTATGTTACTAAATGCAGCGGCAGAATAACCAAATGCAAGCCAATGCCATGTAAGATACAAAAAAAAAAATGGATTGAATTATATGAAACTGGAGTAAAAAGTCTGATTCTCTTTCGGTAACCCTACCCCCAATTTCCCCTCTCTTTTGCCGCTTGCTCTGCAATTCTCTGGCCTCCCTCATCGACGGCACTTTCTCGGCCAGGGGTCGTCCTTGACCGCCTGGCCCGCCTCTGGTTTGCGCGGCTCTGATATTGCCTTGGAGTTCCGCGATTGAGCCTGGTCACTATGCTGGAGAGTTGGATTCAGGTGTCGGCGACGGCCTCCAGGTGTGGCGGCTTGCAGGCGGTTTCTGGTCTACCACTCAATTGCCGGCGGGTTCAGAGCTTTGGAGGTGGAGCTGGGTTCGATCGTTGTTGCTCTGAGGTGATTGGCGAGGTGTGCGTTCTAAGCGGGTTCGGACCTCTGGTTGTTGTGGCTCGTCAGTCGTTGTGGCTGGGGTTAGGTCGCGATCGGTCTTCCTTTGTTCGTGCCCGTATTCCTAGTGGTGTTAGGCGGCGGGGGACATGGTTCTTTCGAGTTCGTCGAGCTCGGGTGGGGCCGAAGTGAAGATTGGCTGCGGTCCCTTCGGTTAAGGATGGGTCGATTCTGAGATCGATTCGGGACCCGGCGTCCTCTACTGTATAGGCTTTGGGCAGTTTCGGTAGCGGATTCTCGGGTAGGGATCTTTCTTGTGTCGATCGTCCACTGCTGGTTGGGTTTGTCAGTTCGCTGGGGGAGGGCTCTCTTTTTTTGGTTGTTTTTCTTGTTTCTGTATTTGCTCTGTTATTATTGTTTGTGTTTGTGATTGTGTTTTTGGTTTGGGCCGTTGGCCCGTGTGAGTCTGTTTTACCCCGTGGGGGTCGTCCTTATTCTCCTTTGGGGAGCGTTTTCAGTGTATGTTGTGTTTCGTGTGTGCCGTTTGGATTCTAGCTTGGCTAGCGTCGGTATCTAGGCGATCTCCGGATCTGTCCTCTCTGTTTTCTCAGCTGTTGGCTGCGTAGTTCAGCTAAAGGTTGTACCTTTGCACTTTTGTACGTTTTATTTATAGTAATCTCTATCGTTCCGAAAAAAAAAAAAA